ACAGAGAGAGAGAGAGAGAGAGAGAGAGAGAGAGAGAGAGAGAGAAACTAGAGAGGTGCATATCGAAGTTAAAAAGATGCAGAAAGAAGGTAAAAAGATGGGCCTCCAGGGAGACTTAACGATAATACATGTATACCAAAGCATTTCTGTGGGCAAATACTGTATACAATGCAATGAAAATTATTAAGATTTTGCCTTAAGTTTTTAAAAATAACATATTATTGCATTTTGAAAATACATATTATCTTTATGATCGAGGATGTGCTGTTAAAAAGAGGCTGACTCATAAGTTTAATTCAAGAATTAAAGCGTTACAACGAGAAAAAGTATTTTTTTAAAAACTGTCTACAAATATATTAACTATCGTCCTCCTTCTTTTAAGTACATGTTACTGTCTAGTTACACCTCTAATCTTCGGCACTGATATAACCTATTTGTGTTGCAATCGCCGTAAAACTTTTACTGAAACTTAAACAAATTGTACCTGAAATCCATCATAGGCCCAGGAGCCCAGCACAAGAGCACACAGCTGGTCATCGAAGGGGAAAAATGTGATGTCCATCTTACAGGAGCTCCGCATTCTTACAATAGGCGGCCAGAACACCGTTCCGTCATGGTGCACCATGGCAAGGCTGCGCATGTAGCCTTTGTTGTGGTTGTCCACGCTGTGGAAGAAGATCGTCACCATCATCATCATCGTCATCATCATCATCATCGTCATCATCATCATCATCGTCGTCGTCTTTGTCATCATCATCATCATCATCATCATCATCATCATCATCATCATCATCATCATCATCATCATCATCATCACCTTCATTCCGCTACTACTACTACTACTACTACTACTACTACTACTACTACTACTACTACTACTTTAAAATTTCGAAATATTTTGAACGGCCTATGATTTATTCAGAACACAAACAAAAAACTAATAGCACGCAAACATAATTTTTCTCGATGTTTGCTGGACACCCACTCTCATCTGATAGAATAGAAAAAAAATTGAAAAGAAAATCCCAAGATCATCAACAAAAACAAAACAAAAAAAAGACAACAAATGAACAACCCCCACCCCCCACTACCCCCTCCCCCAAAGCAAAAGCAAAACATCAGGCCCAGACTAGGATTTGAATCCCAAACTGATCTTACACTGCAAATCCGGCAATCTAAACAACAGACTTCCCGTTAATAAGCAGTAACATGACGCGTCGTTCCTCAGCGTTACAGCAATTATCGTAGTCCTCAATAATATAACAACTCTAGCATTGCAATGCACCCGGCCATAGCAGAAAACGAATACATCATTCGAGTAACCGAATGCAGACCAAAATGTCTCAAAGGCTACCTAAGAAAACACTGTATTCCAAAAACAGATGAAAAATAACTACAACCAAGACATAAACATGTTGATTAAAAAAAACAACAACAACCAAAGAAAGCAACAACAACAAAAACAAATAAAATCAAATCATCATCATCATCCAGTGCCAGATCTGCCACAGACATCGGCGATCATGGTTCTCCATTCATTCATTTGCTCGAATGCTCTCAAAAAAGCTACGTTTCCCTGATCTTTCCCCGATATCCATTTGCTTAGGTTCCCTAGGCAAGTTGCTCTGGGCCTACCCCTGCCTCGTTTGCCTTCAATCTTGCCAGTGAGAGCTAGTAAAAAAAAAAAAAAAAGCATCCCCCCCAAGAAAAACAAAAGCAAAACAAAGCAAAGCAAAACAATACAAACAACAAAACAAAACAAAATTAAACAAAAATCTGTGCACAAGACCTTTTTCTCGAGAAAGCAAGTCAGTTCATTCCGTTTTCCAATTCTCATTTGACAGGCTACCCGTATGCACTAGTATTTTATGTAGCTTGAAAAAAATAAACAAAACACCTGGGCCTGCCATGAGCTTAGGCAGTTAACATGAAAATAGCCCGGGCGTCACGATTTCCGCCTCCGGTTGAGACTTCAGTCTCTGTTTTCAGTCCATCTGTCCGTCCATCCGTCTGCCTATCTGTCTGCTTATCTGTCCGTTTATTTGTCTAATTGTCTATCTGTCCATCTGTTTCTCTTTTTGTCTGCCTGTCTTTATCTCTCTGTTTCTCTGTCGCTGTCTCTCCCTCTCTCTGTCACTGTATCTCTGTATCTCTGTTTCTCTGTCTCTCTGTCTGTCTGTCTGTCTGTCTGTCTGTCTGTCTGTCTGTCTGTCTGTCTGTCT